CCTGAACGAGCGCTCTGTTATACAGTCTGTGATACGGCGAGAGAGCCGTTTATAAAGGGAAATTTTGTGGGAACAGTTTGTCTAGTCGCTCTTATACCAGCAGAGAGCACCAGTTAGCAAAAAAAAAAGAAAATTCGATAGTGCTTATCAAAGTCACAAACAATAACAATGCAGAAACATAATGGTGTAGGCTACAATCGTAAGACCATTATTCTGAAAATGTAAATACTTTTATATGTTTTTTGAATTAATGAACTCTTAAACTAAAAAGTTTAAAATTTTAAAGTGGGCAACATAATTGTTTTATGAGGATACCGCTATCAATAAGACGTACCTACATTAGATTTACAATGATAAATAAATAAATATTGAAATAAATAATCTTAAATGTACATTTTAAACATTCTAAAATTTAACATTTTATTTGACTTTTTTGTTTTTATTGATTTAATACTCACATCAATCAAAACATATTCAAAATTTATTTATTTTTCGGTTAGCTTAATAACTAACAGTATTCTCAAAAACTAAAAAAAAAAATATTGTTTAAACTTTAAATTTTTTCTGGACAAAAATATGAGCTGTCTTACTGTTGAACATATTTTCTCTCAAGATTAATTTCATAATTTCAAATAAAATATGTTTGGTTACCTTTTAGTTTCGATTTTTTGAAAGTTTAATTTAATATATTCACATGATTGATGGCTTTTCCTATTTGAGATTTATAGGTCATTATGCATATGTAAAAAATGCAATAAGTATATGCAAATTGGTTTAATGGAAATGCAAATGCCAATTAGGTAATACGTGTTATCTGAAAAGTTTTTATCTCCCTGATTTATTCTTTAGCTTCGTTAATTGACAAATAAATTTGTATTAATATGCAATTGATAAGTCCCGTTTATTAAGCAGTTACAAGCGTATAAATCACGTTGAAATATAAATAAATATAAATAAAGTGGCTCGGGTTCTCTAGCTGGGTAAACCGGTGAAAGTGGTGCGCTCTCTCGGTGACTTTCGCTCGCGCTCTCCCATCTCTCATTCTCTGGCACTCTCTCTTTCTCTAGAGAGAGGGCGTATAACAGTTTCCCGAGTGAAAAACGAGGCACGAGGACGTCGACGAACGCCGCCTGGTTTTCACTTGGCGGAGGCGTCTGCCTGCCTGGAAATCCGTCGAGCGTTGCGGGCGCAGCAGTTGAAAAGCGTACGCCGTGAGCGACAGACACGCCGCAGTCGATCCGTTCGAGTCCGCTCCGTTCCGCTCTGCTCTGCCCCGATCTGATCCGTGGATCCGCAGATCCGTAGATACGCAGCCCCGCCCGTGCAGCACTCCGCCGGACGGAAGCAGAGATCTCACACCGGAGTTATTAAAACCTAACCGGAACTTAACCCGGAGGTAACCCCTTGGTTGTCGAACTTCCGCGCGCGTGTGTGTGTGCAGAGAGTAGAAAGTGGCGAAAGCAAGGGGGCCAGTACGTGCCGCCATCAGAATTTTCCGAGTGCGCCGGGTAACGTGAGACGGGAAAGTCAGGAAAACAACCTGAAATCCATTTGCCGCAAATTGAGGAGCCAGGCGACAACAACATGTGTAAACGCTAACGAGCGCGAAATAGCGAACATTTTGATTGATTTTGATTGACATGCCACTCAGCGCATGCCACCCACTGCGGAAAAGTGACAGAAAATAAAAAAGAAAACAATCAACTTGAGTAACATTCGCTGCAGCAGAAACAAAAAACTAAAGCACCCTTAAGTATTCACTAAAAAATCAAACAAATAGCCAACAAATATTGAAACGTTTCAAGCACTTTCGGGTCTAAAAAATAATTGCCTCAAGGGCTGTCAGCGAAAGTGCCAACCCAAACAGGAAAAAATACATATATATATATCCACAACAGGCCCAGAAACAAAATGCAATCAAATCAAGGCCCATAAAAACCGCACAAAACACGCTCGCATAAGAGAAAAGCCAGGCGGAAAAAAATCAAACAAAATAATAATAAAAATCCACAGCATCAGACGGCTAATCAACTACAACAAAATAACAGAAAAAAGAAATATATATATAAAAAAAACGCTGAGTTGGGCAACTGTTTTTTTTTGGGCATCTAAGTTGGATTTCCTACTCCCTTGCTGTGTCAGTGTAGTGGTGTATTTTATTCGTATATTAATATATGTTTGTGTGCCTGCGTATGAAAAAAGGATAAAATATGCCGGCATTGATTTTATCCTGCGACAACAGCAGCAACAAAAACATCATTCTCATCATCGGCTAAACAGCAGCCAAGCAACAACAACAACTTTCATAATAAGAAACGAGGAGGAAAAGTTGCACGAATCGAGGGCAAAGTTTTTCGGACATTTTCGGTATGTTGTTTCTAATTTCTGCACTGTTTTAGTTATTCCGCTTGTTGTACATAAAACTCAACAATATTGCTGTCAAAGTTCCGACAGTTTGAACTTTTTATATGCCCGAATTCCCGAACTCACTGCTCATCCCACATTGAGTTTGGGGTCGCAGGAGCCGGATTCGATATTTGTTATGCGGAAAGTTGCTTGTATAATTAGGTTAAATGCTTGTAAATAAACAAAAGTGTTCGATTTAAAAGAGTTGCCCACCCAAAAGTTTGGCATATTGAGGATTGGCTTCTTTGGGGGATTGGCAACGAACTTTTACTGGAAGTTGTATCCGTACAAAAGTATAAAAGAGTTCCCACAACTTTGGACAGGAGCTCAAAATAATAAAATGGGAAGTTCTAGCCAACAGATTGATTAAATATTTCCAACATTTTCTTTTTGATCTTCCCCGGGCTCTTGTTATTAATTTGTTCAACATTCAATTAAAGTCGTGTAAGCTACGGTTGATAAGGCCCCTTTGATAAGGTCATTTAATTGGCAAACACACAATGTGCCCAAAAGTAAAACTTGCTGTTTTTAAAATGTTTGTGTTGTGGCTTTCGTAAATTTCGTAAAGGGGAAAGGTGAAAGAACCACAACAAAGGACCTTTCGCCCACACCGAATTTTTAACCCCCCCGGCTGTTCGAAGTCGGCACTTTTCGGGGGCAACCGGGGGTTAAACTGCAAATATTTGGAAGCCCACTGAAAGTCGTGTGTTTGCCTCGAATTAAAATGGAAACAAGGAAATGCCGAAGGCATTGCCTTTTCAACGCTGACGGCGTGCAAATGAGAAAATTCATTATTTAACATTAATTAAGGCTTATTATGCACATTATCAACACAGTGAGGCGAACACGCACACACGTCTGCTAACCGCATTAAATGTCAGTCAAAGACTCGACTAAGTAAACACAAGCCAATGGAAGTGGAAGTGGAAGTTTCATCGTGAATACTGAGTGTGTGTGTGTGGTTGATTGTCAGCGAGAGTGTGTGGGTCTGTGGACAACTATCAGCCACACCAGCTCACACACACAGCCTCCCACAGGCACAGGTGAAAGTTTTACCTCCCACACAGCCCCGAACCTCCCAAGCCCCCGAAAGGAAAGTCAGGTTCATAATTCAACGGCCATCAGAGGAAAGCGAGGAAAGGGGCGTGGAGGTGGCCAGCAAGGAGCAAACAGGAAGCAAAGCGGCAGCAGAAAAAATACAGGGAACGCAAACGAAATGAAGGTGGTCTGGACTAGGAGATATTCAGAAATCAGTCTATAATTTAATTTGAAAATAAAGAAAACTCTAGTAAAACTTAGTTACTTCCTGTCCTTAATAGCAGCGAAATTATTAATTTTATAGAGATGATCCTTTAAGGAACATTACAAATATTACAGGAGCTATCTTGGAAAAATGTATAATTTGTAATTTATTAAACCAAAATTTTTGTTTTGATTTTATTCATTTGCAGATATGTATATTTTAAACTTTTTTTTTAAATCCAAGGCCTAGTACGATTTTTTTTTTTAATAAATACAAATATTTTGTAAAGTTATATTTATTATATTTTCAAAGTTTTTCTTGGACATTTTTGATCGTGACACACACTTGGATTTTTCCACTCCTTTTTACCAGGACCAATACGCCCGTCCTGATAACTTTTACCGCCCGTCGGGTGGAAAAGGTGTTTAAATTATTCAGTAAATTGTTAAGTAAATAACACGAAAGGCGCACGTTAAAAAGCAACCAAAAGACAACAATAACAGCAGCCAGAACAACAGGCACAGACATCAACACCACCCCCGCTTCCCATCCCCATCCCCCGCGTGTCTATGGCCACTAAGGAAATTTACCTCTCATATGGCCATGACGATGATGATGATGATAATGGTGGTGATTCCGGGTCTGATGATGCCGATGTTCTGCAACTGAAGCCGAGGCAGATGATGACACGCCGCACAGTTCACGGCTCAGCGGAGTTGCCGGCAGCAAATGTACAATAAAATAAACACCAAATGTGGAAAGCTAGCCCCGAGGTTTTCGAAATGGGCGGGCAGAACAGAACGGAACGGAACGAAACGAAACGAAAACAATGCCGGAAACGGAAGCAGCTATGAGAGTTCAGGCGGCTGGAACGACGCACTCTGAACCAAGTAAACAATGGCGAGAAATTTGTTAGCACAGGAGCAGGAACCGCTGCAGGAGAGTCGAGAGTAGACAAAGGTCCTATTGACCCACCTCAGTGGCCATTCCGCCCCCAAAACGGCAATAATTGTGGAGTACTCATGCTGGCAGGGCTTCAAGTATCGAGCACAATTGCACTTTGGAGAAGTCGATGAATAATTTCGAATGTATATATATATTCAACTCCTAAGGGGTTGCTTTAAAATACATTTTCAAAGTATTAGTTAAATTTGTATTACTTCTATTGACTATTTCAGCCACAACTGATCAAAATATTTTAACAAAATTATCAAGGACCATTTTCGATAAAAACTTTATAAATTCTTTTTAATTATATCTGATTACCTTTTGCGATTTGTGAATTTACTTGAATTTTTGCTTAAAAAATAAAGTACTTTTGTTTATCTTTTTTTTTTGCGTTTTATTAGTTTTTTTAACAAAAAATTTTTTTTGTCGTTTTATCATTTGATAATTTCTAGTCTAAAATTTTGAAAACGAAATATTTAACTAAAAAAACTTTTTACTCTATTTATCGCCCTCGCAATGTATTCCAAACTCGGCCAGGAACTCCATCTTTGCGGTAATGCAGACGTTCCTCTGTCTGTCCAAACTTCTAGTTGGCGATTTCCAACATCACAGCTGCTTTCTGAATCGATGAAATTTTTCCGCAGTGATCGTGAAGGGCGTCTGGGACTCCGCAATCTGGCAGCATTTCTGGATTTGGTTGCCATTAGTTTCTTACAAAGTTCCGCACTCCTTCGAGACTTTTTCAAGCGATCAGCGCTCGCCATTTTAAAGAGTTGCTTTTGAGAACGAGTCATTTTTCGCCACAGCGACGTGGCCTCCACGGCTAAAAGGCCGGGATCGGTTTTACGGATTTTGCGAAGGAAATTTTTAAAGGCCCAGGAACTACCTGTTCGTCGAAACGATAATTTTGGAGACACCGCCCCGCGATCTCTTGGATTTAACCTCTTAACGGGCTTACGCAGCCCTCGGGTCGCTTTTATCTTCGGTTTCGACACCCTTGGCCAATGAATCCCGATTGCATCGACAATCTCATTCTGATTGTGAACTTGGGTGAATAATTTCAGCACATAATTATCGGCATTATATTCTTCTTGTTGCCTGGTTGTCATTTGAATCCATTGGTCGACGGCTTCTTGCACATTTTCTTGGGGTCTAATGCCGTGAGTCAGGGAGAAGTCTAGAAGAAAGTTTTCAAAGGGCTTATCTCTCACCGATATAGACTCGATTGAAAATTCATTTAAATCGATCCTTGCCAACACTTCCCTGGATACATTTTGAGCACCATTACTTGTACTTGGCTGGGGTGAGATATCGATGTCCTCCCCACTACTAGAACTTGTAGAATAGGTCATTTTCCTAGGCCTTTCAAGGATGTGGACAGTATCATGATCATCGTTGTCATTCATTCGGTTCATTTCTTGTGTGATAATACTTGAAAGAATATGATTCGCCATTGTTTTGGATTTTCGACGTGGATTCGATCTTGTCGACCTCAAAACAGGGGGCATTGTATGTCTTTCTGTTAGTATCTTTGTTTCCTATGGATGAAAGAAAATTTTATGGTTTGTAGAACCGTTTTTCACTGAAGCACAAAATTGAAACAAATATTTACCTAGAATGGCAAGCTATGTACTGTGCTATACTGACTAAATGTATCTAAACCGGAGAAGTGTAAAGTCCTGGGTAACTGTGACTTTGGCCTGCTTTCTTACACTTTCTAAAGCAAATGAAAATGTATATTTTTGTGGCCATTTCGGACCTATAAATAGTGAAGATTTATTTGCCGCACAGCACACCGAAAACGAATGGAAACAAACAGTGCAAGTTGGGTCCAATCCAATCCATTCCCGCAGAGCTCCTCCACATTCTCCATATCCTGCAGAATCTGGGCCGCCGAGTGCTCAGACGCAAATGACATGCAAAATAAGCAGCAGAACCAGTGAAACCATGAGCAGGAGCAGCCGGGCCACTTACTGAACCCCCGCCAGATAGGGTTTATTAGGGCACCGAGCCGGGCGCCGTAATTTATGCGGGTTTCGAGTAAAAATGTTTGCATAAACTTTATGCAAAAATATGCTCTGGCCAACGCATGCTGGGTTTTCATGGCTTGGTTGGTTGGGGTGGGGGTGGTTTGGGTTGAATGTGCGGGCGGCAAGGTCTCTTGGCAGAAAATTCTTGGCCCAGGCACATTAACAGAAATTGATTTTCGATTTCTCCCCCACTCGCTCGTTCATTCTGCTCGGAAACAAAGTCTGGAAAATGCTTTCTAGCTGAATTAGAAAATAAAGCAATTTGTTTTGCACATTTTGTGTCGTTTCGGTTATCCTGGAAAAAGTTTGATTAGTTTGTTTTGCATTTGTTTTGGGCGTTGGGTGCGGATAATGTTATTAATGTTTCAATATAGTGGCCAGGGAGTTTATCGAACTCTCGGCCAACAGCATTCTGATTTTGAACACTGGCCGAAAATAAAACCTTTGGCAACATATTTGCCAAAAGTTTGGGTTCGGGGCTTTCAAAAAGTTTGCCAGAGTGTGTTTGAGGATTTTCCGTGAGTGTTGTTTTTTTGTTACACACATTTGGCCACAATTTTAGGTAAGCCTTTTCAGCAGGGAAGGGTTAGGAGAGGCCAGGTCAGCTGGCTTTTAACCTTTAAGCACTTTCCCGAAATGCACTTTGACTTCGCGCGGTTTACTGCGAGCTCAGATGGAAGGGCTTAAATGGTGAAATTGTGCATTAAGTTGAGTCGCAACCTTGTAAACTTGTTTGCAAACTTATTCTAAAGTATTTTTTGGTATTTTATTATTGCATCTAAAATTTTATCACATCAATACTATACAATTCTGAGAACATTGATATTCACTCTGTTATAAAGATTTTTATTTTCTTAAAATTAAATCTGGATTTCATGTATTCTTTATGGCCCAACATCAAAAAGATGTCGGGCTCTATAAAAATTTTATTTTGACTCATTAGAGTGTTCCTCTCCACGGAAATCTTTAGTAAAAGGCGAAAGATTTATTCGACAGCTGAAGAGAAACCAGAGTGAAGTACAACATCAAACCATTCGTTGTAGCAGTTATCATATGCTAAAACTGATTGGGAACTATAAGGATCTTAAATCAACCCTCCCTTCAGAAGCGTTCTGTTCTAGACGTTTCACCTTTACTCAGGCAGCTACCTGGAAATCAGTAATGAACCCCTAAGATAGGCACAACGTTACTTATAATTCCCAACTGGTTCTAGCTATTTTTGTGGCTACCCTGATATTTTTCATAACTAGGTTATCGCTTCTCGGCCTTATGGCTAAGATCAAAGTGTAGTATCTGTTCTTATCAGCTTAACATCTGATAGTTCCTCCATTGGAGAACAACAAATGTTAAACTGATTTTTGGAATCTTACGGAGTGCTAGGAGCTTGCTCCTCCTCTGTCGCGGGTTGGCCTGGTATTGCAGTACCGCCAGGATTTTAGCCCATCTGAAAAATAAATACAAATATTATTTAAGTTTCTGTGTCCTATTTTTATTCCACTTGTTACTTGCCTCTTGCACAAACTATTTGGATCGCCTTAAGCTAAGTGGCAAAGATTGCCATACTTAGAAAAAAATTTGGTTATTTATTCATGCATGCTCTATGGAAAATCATAGCCAACTTAGATCACCGATTCATTCACAACAGTGCTAACCAGTTTTTTTCTCAACGCAATTTCTTGAAAAATGTTTTTTAAAACAAAATGGAAATTATTTTTGCTCCTTATGAGAAATTTCAAATATATAAAAACACTTAATTGGCAAACTGTTTCTTACTTAAATGTAAAAAAAAATTCGGAAAGCCAATGCTTAGCAGAGCGATAAAAACGCCGGCGGCTCTTGAAAATAAGTATAAAACAAATGTCTTGAATAACTTAAAGAATATTCCTGCACAGAACCCCATACTGCTTATAAGTATTTGGAAAGGAATAAAAATGGAATCAAAAAGTGTACTTTTTTGTATACTGAACGATTTCATAATTTTGTAGGTCAAAGCAATTGGCAAGGTGCTAATTTGGTTTCTACATCCCAAGATCAAAGACTGCGCCCGAGCTATGCCTTCTCGAAGCCATATGGCTGGCACCCCACAGCCTTGACCACATTCCCCTCTCAAACTGACCGTGACCAGAAACAAATTGGCGTGCAAAGTGCTCGACAAATCAATTGCAATTACTCGGCCAGTCTGCCATCGGGGAAATGGGGCCGCGTCGAGGTGGCTGGGGGGCTATTTGGGCCAAATGTAAAACATTAAATAATTTCATTCTGCGCCTGTTATGCGCCGCAATGGGCCACGAGCTCAATCAGAAAGTTAGCCAAACAAATTGCAAACGAAAACACAAATGAGATACGCTTTCACCGGGGATGCGATGCTTTCGGCCGAGTTTATTTCTGGCTTTGCATTTACTTTGTTTTTTCCCCAGCCGAAAAGGCAATGACGGCAACAACAGGAAGGCGAAAAGTTGAAGGAAAATCAGGCTGAGGCAACAAAAACAACGGCAAGGGCTTACTCCACTTTTTCCGCGGAGAGCGAAAGCAATTTGAAATTGATTTATGAGAGGCTGGAAATGTTGCCATGTTGATGCCAGCTATTTGTGGCCGTATGAATGGGAAGAAGAGCAGCTTTTATTAACGTCCTTGACAAAATTTAGTGTATCCTTGATCCTTTTGATCCTGCCACTCCACTGAATTATGCACTAAAAATTTACAATATGTTCATTCTTAAACAGGTATGAATACATATAAATATTCAAACAGTACTCTCGCTGTTCCTTATTATTCCTTATACACTTAATTCTCGCCAGTTGTCTCCAAGTTATCTCATTAGATGTACTTGAGGTCGGCGAGGTGGAAAATGAGCAGGAGAATGGCAACATTTTAATTTCTTTTTAATGCGGTACGAACTCATGGTCTTAGCTTCTTGCTTGGGGTAGGCCAAAAAATTAATTATCGTTGGCAAACAGGCTCAGCGAAAAGAGGGTGGAAAAGTGGGAGGTTTCTGGGCGGGAAAATCGTTGCAAGTGAATTGTAAGCCGTTGGTACGGAGGCTCCGCGTTTTTCATTACATGAGCGTTGTTAAGCTAAAAATAAATTGCTTATTAAAAAGCCCTCTCACAGCACATGCATAGCCATAGTCAGGTGGGTGGTGTTTTTGGGGGTGGTGGTGCTGGGGATGGAGCCACTCATTTACACTTGAGGGGGCACCAAAGCGAAGTGGGGCGGAGCTGTTAGCTGTGACAATGCGAAATAGAGCGATGGAAGCAGACATCCAACTGGGTGTGAATGACAAAGCCGCCAGGAATCTCTCACTCCCCCCTTCGCCCCTTTCTATATCTGTCTGCATCCCCCCTTCTCCGATCCTCTCCTCCCTCGACTTTCTCCACTAAGCGCGAGAAAGTCCTTGAAGCAATCGACTTAATGCCTGGCTGTGGCGTTTGTACATATTTAGTTTGCATTTACATGGCACACACAGACACAACAAGGACATCGGCAAACAGGAGCACTGAGGGAAAAAAAATAGAGTAAATTAAGTTTGCTTAAATGTTTCCGTTAAAATAAGTTTTTTATTAAAAAAGGTATTGAAACTTTATATTTTGTTAAATTTATTACAAGAAACCCCAGTTGAGATGCTTAAAAAATTTTATAAATTCAGAAGGAGTTTTTTATTTAATATTCTCAATAATATTAGTAAGATTAGATAATACTGTGGTTTGAAAGATAAAGGGTGTATCTTTTAAAAAACTTTAACTTCGAACCAAGCCATGCATCCATTTGCCTCTGAGAGCTCCGCAAAGTTGGTCAATTTCAGCATTTTTCGAACTTTGAGGTCCTTTTGCTAAGAATCCTTGCGTCGGGGAACTCTTTGGAAAACGCAGTTTAACTTGGGAATTCGTAACGAATCCAAAAATATAGCATTCATCGAGGTTAATTTTTGATGCTGCATAGTGTAATTAATAAGTTCAATTAGAGTATTGATCTTATTTATGAAACTTTTTTTTCTTAGTGTCCCAGGCTCCAGCTAGCACATTTAATTTTCTACACATTGCACCATGTCCTGATAGATTAACTGGATATTGGGATGCCACTCCATCCGCATGTATATGTGCTCTGCTCGAAATGAGCGCTTTATAAATATGTCCTTGTCAGCGTCCGAGGTGGGGACAATTTGCCACTCCCCCTTATCTTTATCTGCGCCAGGACCTGGACCAGGACACCCTGGCAGCAGGCCTGATTGGATAGACCAGAGTTCGAAAGTCAAGGTATCCGTCCGTCCAGTGAGGCTGAGTGCGTGTGCTCGTGTGCGTATCCTGTACGCTTGAATGAATTTTTGTCAACGTGATTCGCATTAGAATGTGTATTCAAATGAGCACATAATTTGTTTGTTTGCCTGCTTCCCAGCAACCCCAAGTCTGTGAGCATTAAGATATGTCTACATGTGGGATTGGACTTCCTGGAAATGAGGGGATCGACCTGACGATGCCAACTATTACATAAATCGTTCGAATACCAATAGGAAAATTAATGGGAAAAACGCTGTTTTTGCGAGTTTCAGGTAAACAAATCTTGCTTTAACCTTAAATCGAAGATTAAATTAAAGTAATTTCGGACAATACAATTTTTTTAACATGCTTATAACGGAATAAATATTTAAATTTTAATGCAGTTTTTACCCTGGGCTAAAAATTAATTTTTTAGA